AGACTGATTTATTCTGTGATTACATGAGTCTTAGTGAAAGATGCAAACCATTGAACACATTATTTACCAGATGTGACAATGTCTTGCCAATGGCACCCTTTTCACAACAACAGTGGTTTGATTCACCCCGTGGTAACTCTGAGATTGCAAAAGGTGCAAAGGAAGTCTGACAGAAGGGTTTGGTTTTGTTTTATTTTTGACAGGACTGCCAGAAGGACAGGTATATGTATATAGGATGCATAAAAAGTGTCTAAGATGTAAAAACTCCTATGCATGGAAATAAGGAACACAAGAAATGTCTTAAAATCTGGCTCAGTGACAGAACTCTGAATTAATATGTTAATAGGAAGGCATCCATGATTGAAGCTGTTTCTGAAGGGATCCCTTGGAACTGGTTGTTGTATTCAACCCTACTCAGCATTTTCATTATTGTCTTAGAATGTAGTTTAAATCTCTCCTGGTAAAATCTTCAGGTCACCTAAAGCTCAATATGGTGGTAAATAATGTACCCAGATCATTTTGGTGTAGTGATCTGACTCACATTGCTACAAGGTCACAGTCAAACAAAATGTGTCTTAATGCAGCAAAATGCAAGATAGCCCTGGGAACAAAGAAAGGATGTTATACAGGTGGATTGGGAGACTCTTGAGAAGTAATGACTCAGAATGGGATTTCAAGGTCACTAAAGATGATTGTTTCAACATGAGTCTCAGTGCAAGACTGTTGCAAAAACTCTACTGTGAACCTTAAAAGTATAAAAACCCAAAAGTTGTGAAGGGGTCTCTTTTCTGTGCCCAGTATTGCTGCCGTAGTGCTGTGTCCAGTGTTGGTGTCCACACATAACAATAGATGTGAAATTACTGTAAAGAAATCGAAGAGTGTTATACACCAAAAAAGTCCAGTGGCTGGGAAATAAACCTTACAATTGGAAGTTTCATCTTCCTCAGCTGTTCAAACAAAAGTTTTGGATTGGATTGTTGCTCTGTGTGAAGGTACTTGCACATGGAAAAGATATTGGAGCATACAGAGCAGAAGGAAATATTGATAACCTTATGGACAAAGGCAAAACAAGACACACTCATGGGATATTGGAGTTAAACAAATCCAACCTTGCAATGAGATGCAGTTTCCTAGCAGCAATTAAGCATTTTGAATAGCTTACTGGAGGAGGTGGTGGACTCACTCTAATCAGCTGTCTTTGATATATGAGATATCTTTCTAAAACACAGGCTTTAATCCAGTTCTGGGTGGGAAAAAAATTAACAGCCTGGAGGTATAAGAGGTCAGATAAGTTGATCATAGTAGCCTCTTTGACTCTAAAGCATATGAATTACCATAATCTCTCTACGCAGGACTTGAAGCTTTTCATGGAGTTAATTAAGCAACACATTTGTTCTCTGGACTGAAGTGCCATGTTCATATTATAGGTATATGTAAAAAAAGGGAGCTGCCACTTTTTAAAACCAGGAGCTGTATAAATGTGTCCATAACTAAGAACTTACAGTGCAGCCTACCTGTACTCTGGGAGCTGCTGAAGTTACAAATCTACGTGGGGATCATGAGTCTCTGGCTTTGCTGCTGCAAAAGTTGAGGTGCAGAAGCCATTAATCCCATGTTCACCTCCTTCTGTTACCTCTCTGAAAAATCTGCAGTGAGTTTTAAGGAAAATAAAACTTTATGCTTTTAAAATTTTTATAAGTGTTTTGTATTATGACTTCATATCGTTCTGTGAGATCATACCTTGCTATATTTTCCTTTGCTGCTGGTGCTGGCTTCTCACATTTGTTGTTGGATTGGACAATTAAAGCCTGAGTTTTATTTTGTTCTTATTTTATTTTTGCTTAATCCGTGCAGCTCCCTGGACACCTTGCTCTTCATGGGTAGGGAGCTTCTTGCAAAAGTCACTTTATCCTCACTTTTCTGATGGATCCAGTGAGACATCTTAGGGCATGAGAAGTCATAACTGTGTACAATGTCATTATATGACAACACCTTACAATTTACTGTAGGGCACCACTTGGATGATTTGTGAACCATACAGTAAAAAAAGCAAGAAAACTGTATTCAGATGGAGATATCGCTATTTATGATCTGATTTGTAGCTTAACTCTTGCTGTTCTGCATGACTCAGACAAAAATAGCCATTACATTTCCTAAGCTAAAGAAATACTTTTTCCCGAAACTGTTGTTGGTATTAGAGGGGGCTGAGTAGGTAAATGCCATTTCAGCTCTTGAGGATGTTGATAAATTTAGGATATAGGATGTCAGTGACAAATGCCTCTGGTGTAGTTGTAGTAGTATGGCCAGTCTTCGCGAGCGAAGATTTGGGAAAGGTCATTAACCCTTCTAGCCTGCGCAGTGGATTTTTTAGGTGAGACACAGCGTGCGCTGAACTTTAATCCTGAGGTTCATCTGCCGGGGCCGAGCAAGCTTGGACAGTGGCAGTGAGGGGCTCAGGATGTAGGTTTGTTTAGAGTGACCTTCTCTTAGATGGATTGCCTTACAGGGCTAACGAGCTCCATCTGCCCGGGGGGCTGGGAATCGAACCCGGGTCGCAGCGGTGAAAGTGCTGCACCCTAAACACTAGACCACCAGGGGCCCCCCTCTGGTGTAGTTATCCCCAGCTTATTCCACACATTAGTTGAAAGGCTTACCTGCAGATGAATGCTCATCCTTCCCACCTATTCAAAACATTGTCTTTTGCATCTGTTCTTCAAACATTTATCTACAGTTTCCTGCAAAACATTTCCTTGCTGTCCTGCAGCTTCAGGTCCCAAAACGCATTTCTGATGCGTGGAAGAAAGACAATGTAATGAAGTATGGTACAGCTGGTTTGCCACCCTCTCAACCAAGCGTCTGTAGCCTTAGAAAACACTATTAATGTGTGGGAGAAAAAGACAACATTTTATCTTGCTTAACACTATAGTTGATATAGTAACAGTGTTGTTTTGTTGCTCCTTTTCTGTTTCTTTTTTTTTTTTAGGTAGGTAGCTGTAGATAAGCATATTACATCTAAGCAGGTCTGTATTCTGTGAATGGTCTCTCAAACTCCATCTGAGACTTGACTTTCCAGAATCCTACTGATCTAGTCATCTGCAGCAAGTAATTTCTTTAATGGGCAAATAAACCCTGATTAGTTCTTTTTCATTATCCCTAGTGATCAAGAGAAAAGGCCAATGGGTGAGCTGAAATTTTTTTTCTAGCAATTTTGCAAGGAGTTATAAAGATGTAAAGATATCAGAACAGATAGAGGTAAGGATAACAGATGGGATTTCCCAAAGCACTTTGCTGGTCTAACACTGCTCCCATTATCATTAATGGCAGGTGCAGAGCACTTGTGAAAATGACTCACTGTGTGTGTGGGCTCATCTACATGGAGCAGATACTCATTGTGCTTTGACCTACTCATAGACAGGAAGCTCAGGAATCCTGACCAGGCTCCTTGTTCAGTTTTCTGTGTATGGGTAACTACATCAAATGATGTACAACACTAAAATCTTCCAAGAGTGGAACAGGTATAACTCAACAGAATCAAAGTCCATGATGTGTAAACCATTGTAGGTACTAGCACAATAACAGATCAGATCCCATCCTATTTATATTACAGTAAATACAAAGTAATACCAATAACACTGGAGAAATGACTTCTAGTTCATACTGGGTTTCATAGGTGAAACTGGGACAAAACTGAAGCTCACAAATAGTAACAGTGACAAACTGTCTTGTTTTAATTTACTGCTTCTTTGAAATAAACAATACATTATCCTGAAAACTCCAAATCTCCTTCAGGAGGAAACTACCTCTCAGGACAGTATTGCTCTCCTGGTATGTTCATCTCTTGCCTCTATGCTGAAATAGTTAGTAGGTGCTAGCTGTAAAGGTGGTTTCTCTGATATATGGAGCTCCCAGGAACTACACAGAGACCAGCCACTCATTTCACATAGGTCTGTGAACAGCCATCACATGGTAATAATTTTCATTCACTGTCAAACTGTCTTACTTGAACTGATGAGTTGGAAGTGAAGGGCTCCATATCCCATTACCCCAGAACAAAAACATCCAGTTCCCTTATCAGATTTAAAGATCTGTCTACTACATGCTAACAACTTTTATTGCTAAATGTGATGCTTCATCAAACCTCTTTTGAGCTTTTTTTGTATTTCCTTTCCTGTCACTGCTTTTTCCTGAGCTGTCTGCAATGTGCAGTGACATCTCAAAATGAATGGGGGGATGTTGCTATGGTGGTGGGAGGGGAAGTGGTACTGTCTGTGTGTTTGATGGCTTGACAGATATGCAAACCCTCATTTTACTAGCGTACTCTCGGCAAGCTTTTTCATGTGTGTCCAGTGCTGTTATTGTTGTTATTATTAATTTAGTGGTGCTAAAAGTACAAGATTTATATCCTGAGAGTTTGAGTCATCTGTTACTCTGCGTCTGTATGGAATCAATGTGACAAAGGTCAAAAGAGATCAAACCCTCCCAGCAAAGACTTCTTTACTTTCTATTCTGTTTTACTGGGTTGTGTGTACTGATCTCTCTGCAGCCATGGTAGATACAGTGGCTTTATTCACTATTTAGTCCTGCTGAAAGCAAACCCGATAGCTTTGGTATGATGCAATGTATCTGTGATTTGCCCAGGGAACAGGAGCAGTGTACAAAAGTCATACGTATGCTGGCAGAAGAAAACGAAACAACCTTTTGGGGCTCTAGAGTTATCACAGTGACTGAGATGTGGAATGGCACATCCTAGAATTAGCCTAAAATATGCTTTTTTAGGGTCTAATCTGTGAGTTTTCATATATTACATATTACTGCATATTTATGTTACATATTAATACATATTTTATGTTCTGTATTTTGACTTTCGGTGAATATGCCTTACTCTTTGTAGGTGAAAATTTGCATTTCTCTTTTGTCTGTGTTGGAAAGAGTTTTTGCACCCTGAAGTCTATAGCATTCCACCTTACCATTGCTCTAAAATCTTTCTTACCCTTTTGCAGATGGCCTGGTGGATTGCATGGACCCAGATTGCTGCTTACAGCCGCTGTGCCACGTCAATGCGCTTTGCCTGGGCTCCCCAGACCCCCTGGATATCATCCAGGAGACACAAGCCCCCATCTCCCAGCAGAGCTTGCATTCCTTCTATGATCGAATCAAGTTCCTGATTGGCAAGGACAGCACTCACGTCATCCCAGGAGACAATCCTTTTGAAGGCGGGTAAGTGAATTTTGGGTTTGATTCAGTAAGTGGTAAAGCATAAGCCACTTGGTCATTTTAAAACATGGAATGGCAGCAAGATGTAAAACATGGAAATTGTTTAAGTGAAGTAGATATCTGAAGAATTTTGTGACTGATGTAGTTCGGCTGACTCTCTCCTCATCTACAATTTCCTGCCAGCCAGTAAGACAAGATGCTTCTCTCCCAACCCATATGGGCAGTTGCATCTTTCTTGAGTTTTCTTATTTCAAGGTGTGAAAGGCATCCGTTCAGCAGGGCTATTCTTGTTCAAATGACTGACATTGACCACAAGTATCTCCTAAACAGCAGTGACAGGTCTTCTTCCACTGACAGAGCCAAAGGGAAGGAAACTAGAATGGTATTTGCAATCTATTGTGTGACTATTAGAGACCTCAAAAGAACTGAGGAAAATCACAACACCTAGGGAGGGCTATTAGAATGATTTGCAGTATAAAGAATCAGATTGAATACAGATTGATTTTAACACCAATACATTTTTTACCATCACAATGATCATCAAAAAGCAGGAACTGGGAAAGAAAACTTTGAAAGGTCACTTCTGTGACTGCATCTCAACAATTTAAGTACATTCCTAGCTGTCAGGGTCAGTCATCCCTTGAAATCATGTGCTTATAGCAGGGCACCTGGGATGTGAGATTCTTAGATCAGTGTCTGCCCTGAGTATTGCCTTTCAGAAGTAGTGACCTTGATCCCAGAGGTAGCTCTCAACACTTAAGTTTGGACTCTGTTGAATTTCACCCAGTCATGAACTGCTTACTTTCAGCTTTCCCACACACAGCAGTTAATAGGTTGGAACTGAAAATATACAACCCTCATGTTTCTGTGGGTATTTATTTCAGCACTTACATCTCAACAGGCCTCTCAGGCCCTTCTACATCCAACCTTTTGTGAAGGGACATTGACAGCATCCCTTGGGTACCACCACCTCCCATATATGGCCTTTTTTGGTACTCTACAGGCTGATCTCAGACATGAAGCACACCACTATCAGGGAATTGGCCTGATGTGATAGTTTCCCTGATATTTCTTGCTTCCAAGGCCTTTAAGGTCCAAGAAAGCAGACAACAGTGATTCAGACTATAAACAAACACTCGTGTTTCAAACTGTTGTCCTTCATCAACATTCTGAAGATCCCAGGTACTGGATACTGAACAGTCCAGACTCTGGACTAAATGTTAGCACAGTGAATTCTCTGCTGTCAGTTGTTGTGATTTGTTGCTGTAAAATCAGGCTTCAGAATATAAAATACATATGCTTATAATTTCATTTTTCTGATATATCTAGAGCTGCAATTCCTCATCATTTCCACAGAGGAATCTGGTATCAGGTCCATATGTATCCATTCTGATAGGTAGAGAGTTTTGGTAGACACGTGTCTGTGTTTAATGAACTTTCCATACAACTAATAAACTATAGAAATATTCATACATATGCGATAAAAAAACCAAAAAACTGCAGCTTCTCTTTGAAGGCTGCTTACATTCAACAGCACACAGAGATGGGGGAAAACAGTGGGAATTTCTAATTTGTTTATGAGAGTGCCAGCAGAGGACCAACAGAAAGACTGTGTCTTTTAGGGTCACATAAACTCCTACAGGAGTTACATGTGTTTGAGATTCAAAAAGAGCACCTGCTATCAGAAATGTTTATCTGGTATGTGAGGGAATGCAATGATTCAGATCAATAGGATGATTACATTTTATTAAATGCAGTGGAACTAATTAATGGGGCTCCTTGTTGCATTTAAGTTAACACAAAGGATTATACAGAGTTAGCGATTTATGAGGTTGCCATTCTCAAATTAGCAGCATTGGATGTGTGCTACTAAATATGGTCTACAGATATGTCACCTCAAGCTGCAATTGTATTGCATCTCTCAAGTTAAGTATCTTGATTCACAAGTGTGATTGCAGGTAACAGTGAAGGACCTCAACAGAAAGCATATTTTCCCCTGGAACAGCACAAAGTTCAGGCTTATCAGAGTTGTTAAAAATGCCATTACTCTTTTGGGATCTTAAAAGACATTGTGTGTTCCTGTTAGTTCTTAAAAGATCCTATAGATCTGGATAAACTCGACCACTGCAAGGGTTTTCTGCTTATTTGGCTTCTCTTTGTAATTTCAACTGCCTATTTCACTACCTAGAAAGCTGGACCTTTGAATAGCTGCCTCTTAATCACCCTGGAAGTGAGGGTGCTTCAGCAGTGGTCAGTGACTGATACATGGAGGAGCATGGACTGGGACCATCTGGGACCCAATTAGTCTGGGCAAACAGGACTGCCTATATCTGCGTGTGTGGATATGCCCTTTCTTCAGTAGTATTCTTGCTGTTGAATCTCCTCTAGTTGCTTTTACAACAGACAGGTGATAATATCCCTGTTATCCATGAAACTGCTCAGTGTCTCCATGAAGATCACAGCAGCAGCTGGGGGCAAGATGAACTGTTCTTGTCTCTCCTTCCAGCTGCTGGCTTAGAAGTTTGTCTGACAGGAGAGAGCTGTTCTTATGAAGGCTCCAGCATCCTGCCTTAGGACAACCCTCTCCCATTGCTGCTGTGGTGATTCATGAAGCCATCTCGTTCTTGGTGTAGATCAGGACTGTAGATTGCTGGGCATGGAACGTCGTATGTCTTTCTGTCCCAACGCTGTCATCTTCATGGGGTAGGGTTGGAGTTGGGTCCGTGCCACTTGCTGTGAGCAGTCCTCCATGAGCAGGCACCACAGAAGGGACATGGATCTCTGTATCCTGTGTGTTTGGTATCCTGCATAGGCACCTGTGGCACAGGCACACTCATCATTCAGGTCAGGAATTACGGTCCATTCCTGCAGGGTTTACTAGGTCATGGCTGGCTGATTATCACCCTGGGGGAACCTTGGCACATTTGCATCCCTGTAGAGCCTGTGTAGAAGCAGCAGCAGTGTGAAGAAAGTGACTGAATATCTCTGCAATATATTTCCTGGGCTTCAAAAGCAGCTTAGCCACTCTTCAGAGAGAACAGCAGTGCAGATCACCTAATGGATACAAATAAATGAATGTCTCATGACAGCTATCCTTTGAGTGAATTTATTATTGAATTACACTCCAGCTTTTTAAGAACAAGCTGAGCTGACAAGCTCTCTCACCACTGCAAAGGGAAAAGAAAGACAATGATAAATTACCCTGATGGATAAAGGTAAAGACCTTGTCTCTTCCCAAATACCAGCAATTATATATTATTTATGTTTGGGAAGAAAAAATAATCATTGCCTATATTGAAATGAGTGTTTATGATGATAAAGCAAGTAGCTAAATTAAATTCTGAATGCACAGAATGTCTTTTCACATCATTTTGATGAACAGATAACAAGTACTCTTCCACTACTTGATCATTCTCGTATTGATTTTGAAACCACTTACTCTTGCTGTTTGCTTTGTTGTTTTTAAGGCATTCTTAGTTGTCCATCACCATAAGGAGCAACACAGGATGCAGTGGTGTCAAGTTGTTGACTTTAGAGTAGGACATCTGATATATTTATTCTCTTCTGAGGGACAGTGTCAGAAAATGGAGAGAATAGGCTACAGTCCTGATCCACAGAATCTTTTATGCTAAGTGTTGGCACAGGCTAAAGTACCTAAGATGACCATGTGCAGAATTGGCACTTTTGTAAAGAAAATCTGAAATGAAATCAGGTGATTTTTAAGTAAGCGTGTTTTATATCCCTTCTTTTTTGGGACAAGTTGTGTATATCTACTTGCTGACAGCAGTATTAACCTGTACTGATTACTTGGGCAGCTAGAAATAACCATCTGAGTTATAATGAAACATCATAGAGCAGCATCTGATATCAGCTGCAAGAATAGTCCCTGATTGCCCTCAGGTCAGTAGTCTACATACAAAAAGTAGTTCGTTTTCCTGGTTTAAAATTCTGATCAGAATTGACTTTTCACAGTTTTTTCCACTACTGAGTGACAAGGCGTCTGTAAACATGTCACTCCTCCTTCTTGTGTCCCCTCTGTGTGTGAGGCAGTACAACCTACCTTACTGATCCAGGTGGGGAGGATTACACAGCACTGTTAGAAGCTCAGAGAGACAGGTATGCTATAAATGCCTGTGTGCACTATTTTACTATGAATAAATAAATGTATGGAGGTTTTTTGGCAGTTAAACTGTATCTATCCCAAACCCCATCAAACCAAAATGCCGAGCATTGATCATGGCCAAAGAACAGCTAAGAAAAAAGGGGAGGATTGAAATGCTTTTTCAAAATGTTTTGGTAGCCCATCTGGCTCAGTTCTAAGTGTTTTGGAATAATATTGCTATGTTATCTTAAAGGAGTTTGCCCAGAGAAGCTATGGCTGCTCCATCGCTGGAAGTGTTCAAGGCCAGGCTGGGTGGGGCTTTGAGCAGCCTTGTCAAGTAGAAGGTGTCCTGCCCATGGTAGGGGGGTTGGAACTACATGATCTGTAAGACCCCTTCCAACCCTAGCTCTTCTATGATTCTATGAAGACATTCAAAGCACCTTCTCTTTTCCTTTCTCACATTTCTTCCCACACCTTGAGGACTGTGGGTTCACCCCAGCAGATCTTTCTGAGGTTCCTTGCCAGGGAAACCAAAGTGCTCTGTCTTTTCTGTATTTTTTTCTCAAGAAAAGTATAACTTTGATACAGTGACATAAGAAACACTTCTTTTCTAGTTGAAGACAAAGTTAAAAGTCAAAAACCCCAAACTTACCAGATATAGCTTTATCCTGATGATTTCTCCTGAGTTGACTAGTCCAGCCCATGTCTCTGGCCCTACTCCAGCCAGATGCAGCTCCCTTGGGTGGCAGGAAATGCTTTGGGTCAGATACACCCACTGAGCACAGGCATGCAGAGGCAATGAAGGAGCTTGTGGAGCTCAGCAGCTCCATGGACAGTTTGGAATTCTGCATCTGTTTAAGACTGTGTCATAGATATTAGGCAGAATCCAGCATTCCTGAGG